AAAAAAAAAAAAGCCAGCCCTCACATAATCCTCAATTTCATCCCTCACATCACCCTTAACTTAACACCCAACATAACCCTTGGCATAATCCCTCATCTCACCTACCTGACTACCCCCCAGGATGTGCTGGCCGCATACCTCCAGTGGCAGACAAAGATCGACTACCTGTTTGAGCGTGCCAAGGAGGTGGTGCCTGTACCCATGAGGATCACAGAGATCACTGACCCCAGGCCAGTCATCGCCCTCACAGATTTCAACACCAGCGAGGTCAGTCTAGGCCACGGGTCTCAAACTCGGATCACCTGGGCGCTGCTAGTGGTAGAGCCTGGGGGAGCCTTGGCTGCATCAAGTCGTAGTATTCTACACACGCACACACCTACACACACACTCACACACATACACACACACACACACAAACACACACACACACATACACACACATACACACACACACACACACACATTCATGATTTTCTTTTCTTTTTTTAAAGTACAGAATTGGAAACATTTTCAAAACTTGCCAACCAACACTGTCGAATGCTCTCTTGAGCTTGGACTATGGTAGCCCTTAAGTGGTCTTTAAGAAAATACGAGTATAATATATATATAGGTCTATAAAAATCCAGGGCAACAGTTAGATAAATAGATACACGTGAGAAAAACGTGCGAGCCGAACTAATATTATCATTAATTAAAGTTGAAGAAAAAGAGTGTCCACCGGCACTTTTGTTGCTGTTGATTCAGATCAAGAATTTTTTTGGGCAGTGTTATTATTCCTTTTTGGCTTTTTGTGTTTTCATCAAAGGCCCTGTGGGTGGTTATGTCTTTTTTCTTGACTAGGAATTGTTTCACTTGTCTTTTTTTTTATTGTCGATTTTTGTAACTTGTTGGTTTTTAGCACCATCATACATGCATCGAGCTTTTATTTTTGTTTATGTGTCTGATTGACCATATTATTCCTGATTTTAGTTTTAATTCCTTTTTTTTCCTTCTATTCGTCAGATTGATTTCATTGAAGGCGAAACATTGACCTTGTTGGACAATTCTGACAGGAAGAAGTGGAAGGTTTGTTTTGTATATATATCTATATATTATACTTCTCTTGTAAGTTTGATATAGGCCTAATTTTTAAAAAATTTTTTCTGAAGAGTCATGCAAAACAGGTTTTTGAATTTTGTTCAACTGTTTTGTTATTTTCAATAACCTGCTGACGTATTAAATAACTATTCTGGTATTCGTTTATGCTTGTCTTCTTAACACAATTCAAAACAAACCACTAGAGGAAGGCACAGATATAATATTCATCACATATGGCAGAAAGTAATTACAATATATCATGTTGCTTTTGTCTTGTACTCCTTCCAGCTCAAACTATGATTTATTCCTCGCTTCTGATGGTTTTTGTTTCCAGTACAATTTCAGAAAAGATAAATTTTCACCAATTTGTCATTTCATCTGCGTGGGTGGTTGGCAGGCACTCTGGTGTGGTTTGCTCCTTCTTTCTTATAAAACATCTCTCATTAGCATCTCTACTCCTTCTATTCTTTGTATGCTCCGCTCTAGTAACACCTTTTGTCTTCGGCATTTAAACGACCTAATTAATTATGTTGCAAGTGCTGTAAAACTCTAACTAAAACTTAACCATTTTGGCCACTTTATACGCAATAGCAGACATTATAATGTTTTACATCGTTTGGCGTTCACATAAGTCAGCATTAGATTGAAATATAATTTTCAATTTAAGTATCTTCAGTTCCATCTGTTCGAGAGAAGCTTTTTTTGTTTTCTACTGGGTGATTTATAGAGGGGAAATGTTGATGACTGGGTGCATGACTCCGAGAAACACCAAAATGCAAAATGAATGGCTTTAACCAGCCATAGATGCACATTGTTTTATTTGTATTGTTTTCGACTGAATTTGTGACGGGTGGTTAAGTATGAAAGTATTCCTGGCTTTTTGTTTTGCTTTTGGGTTTTGGGGGATTTGGGGGGGGGGGGATTTTTTTTTGTTTTTTGCTTTTTTAGCTAAGGGACTTGAAATTAGATTTTGAACTATTTTATGCTCCTTTTGTTTATTAGGATGATTTCGTGATGTGCAGTAAGTTTTGAAATATTCTTTGGGCTTCCAATTTAATGGTGGGGAAGGGGTTGTTATTTGGTATGATAACCCACCTTGTCAACATTTCAAAATTAATAAAGTATGGCTTGCACCTGTGTGTCTGTGATCAGGTGAAGAACATCAAAGGAGATGTCGGCATGGTACCGGCTGTGATCCTTCTTATCCCGTCACCCTCGGGACCTGCCCTGGATGCAGCCATAAGGTGAGACATCAGTGGTGCACCTCTTGACATTACATGACGTGACACAATACAATTCGATAGAAGACAACACGACTCAATATGACACAATACAATGCGATACAAGACAACACGACACAATATGACACGATACATTGCGATGCATTGGGACACAAGACGACACGACACAGCATGATATCATGACACGATAAGGCACATTGCAACATGACATGACACAACAGGACCCAACACACGACATGATGGATGGAATGTGTTGTGTGTTACCATTGTTTCCATATTGCGCAAACTGAGTGGTTAGTAGAACATAAGGAGGGAGTGTTTGCGTATTTCTGTGAGCTCAGGCGTAAATGTGTGTGTGTGTGTGTGTGTGTGTGTGTGTGTGTGTGTGTGTGTGTGTGT